ATATATATATATATTATTAGTTTACTTGTTTTATATATATATATATAACAAAATATTATAAAAACAAACTACTTAATTTTAATAAAACTTTAGACTAATATAATTAATTTTACTCAAAACTTAATTGATAAATATCAAACTTCAAATTGAATTATAAAACATTTAAAATTGTACATTTTAAGCACTGACAGATTTTCTATTTCCAATGTTTCTAGAATATAGTAAAATACAGTTTTAATTGACATGATAAAACTGTTAAAATAATTATGGCTGATTAAGAAGAGCCTCATACTCTGTTGAAAATATAATAGAATTAATTCCACATGTAGGCCGTACTTAAAATAACTATTTAATAGTAAAAATTATAAATGTGTAGAGATATAAGTACAAATATTTTAAATAGAAATAGAGATTTTAAAATATTTTTAACAAAGCTATTGGAAAGAAAGGTTTCATACAAACTTGGTTTGTTAGATATAGCATATAAATAAAATATTAAAAATATCTAAGTGCTTAGCATAGTGCTAAATTGTAAATTCACGAGGAAATCCCTTTGTATAATGCAAGATTAGTGCCTAGGAATATAAATAATGTTTGCATAACTAGTACTCGAAATATAGTATTAGAAATTTATTTACATCCTTTTTTTTATGAGAATAATTTTCAACAAAAATTTAATGAATAATATATTTTACGTTATTTGACATTAGCTTTAATTTTATTTAACAATGATAATAATAAACTTTAAATTTTACAACTATTTTAAAAATTTTAATGGAAAAAAAATGATCTTGCAATTAGTATATTTTTTTTAATGACAATTAAGTTGATAATATATAAAATCTGTTTCTATCTCACTACAAAATATATACATAAAATAATTACTGAAGATTATTTTATGTATATTATTTCTAAATATTCTATATATTATTTTTAAAATTATTTTTCTCAAAAGACATTTGAGCTCAATTGCAGAGCAATATAAAAAATATATACATTACCTCCACCTCATTTACACAAATAATATCACTCAAAGGATATAACTTTTCATAAGTCTGATCATTTGCTGGGGCAGCATTAACAACAGTTTTCACTAAAAAAAATTATTTTTAATTGTTTGTAACAATGCACATATTTTTTTTTATTTACACACACACACAAAAATAAAGGTTTTAAAAGAAAATCAATCAACTAAATCTTGTCACACATGTCATTTTTATTTATGTGTAAAAATTTAAACATAGAATAAGTAAATGTTAATTCTTATTTTATTTCATAATATTCTTCGTTTAACAATTTTTTTTAGGTCATTTAGTATTAAAATAATTACGAATTATAATAATGTAATTATAATATCTATTTCTTTCAATGTAAACTTGACATTGAAGAAAAGTCAACATGATTCTTGCATCAACTTGAAAATTTCATGCCTTATTACTCAATCTACATGCCTTATAATTCAATCTACACAGAATTTAAAAACACACTATTGTCTAAAATGAAATATTCAGATTTTTTTCTTATAGGTAGATACTTTATTTACGTCACACTAGAGCTGCACAATGGGCTATCGGCGATGGTCTGGGAAACATCCCTGAGGATGATCCGAAGACATGCCATCGCAATTTTGATCCTCTGCAGTGGGGATTACTCCCCTGCTTTTTTTGTAATTTACTATCCTGTAGAGAACTAGAAAGTCATGCAAAAATACAAAATCATCTTTAAAAATTATTAAAGTCAATTCAATTAAAGTGATCATGATGGATGTATTCAGAGAAAAAAAATTAAATATGCTTACAAACACACCATTGTATTTTCTTGCAATATTTAGAGCAGTAAATAATGAATCCAGTGGGCATTCATAAGTGCAGAGAAGAACTTTTGAGTTCTTAATTATTTCTTCAGCATTAAGAACATCATTTGGGGTTAGATCCCAAATAGCTCCAGGAACATAGACAATATTATTCAGGCCTGAAAAGAAATAATTATTTGTTAAATATTTTCTAAAAAAAGAGTTTCAACCAGAAAAAGGATTCACATTCTTTATACAATCCTGTCAATTACAAACAAACACATTTACCTTCATCAGTTACTGTTATTGCTGCTGTACTAGTTTGAGAATTCTTTGAAAAAGTAACAAATTCTAAAAAGAAAAGACATTTTGAAAATTTTGTTAAAATATACGCTTTTATAAAAATACTTAAATGCATTAACGCCGGAAAATGATTTAAAAATAATTAATTATTACCAGGATGAATTCCAGTTTCTTTTAGACATTCAAAATATTCTTTTCCAAAACTATCATCTCCGAGCTAAATAAGCAAAAACAGTAAATAGCAGGTATTTTAATTTATAAAATACAGTATTCTATTAATAACCTTTAACTTTCTTTTACAAATTTAAAGTGTAACTTTTATAAATAAAAAATACCAACAATGTTATAGTGCAATAAATTAAAAAACAATGCTAGCTTATTTTTAAAACAAAAACACAGGGTATGTGTGATCAGTGGNTAAAGTATTTGTATATTTCATATTTTTATTTGATAAAACCTAATCAGTTTACATAGCAGTGGGGCCCCATTTTTTAATTTGCCCCAGGGCCCTTGGTTACCTAGCTACGCCACTGTGTGTGATGCACTATTAAATATAGGAGAACACCAATTTATAAAATCAGAAATAATATATCTAATCCATTTTATAATGCAATACATAATTTTAAAAAAAGAAAGAAAAAAAATATTGCTAGCTAACTATCCAAAGAACACATAGTATCTAATAAACTATTATATCAAAGTACAAAAGCAAAGATAATGTAAAAACAGAAGATCACTTTGGTTTAATAATAAGTATTATTAAACCAAATATTATACACAAAATTAAGATTTATTTGTGTTATGTGTGTCACATCTTTTTTAGTTGTGTATTGTGTCCATTTAATTGTGTACTGCAATTCTGTATTCATGCATGTTATTACTCTTTGATTTATATCTTGTCACTAGTCATGGTGTTGATTATAGAAGCGAAATGATTGTCTGTGTCTCTCAACTATATTATTTGTGATTTTATACCTGATAGTTAACTGGTTTATTGTAACAACTAGTTAGCTAGAGCTAATTAGAAAGCTAATAGCAGAAATAATGAGTACAAATCAACAATTAGTTGATACAAAACCAATAATTCTAAACAAGAGAAGAAATAAACTTAAATCTAAAGTTACTAAGTAATTAGTAGAACTAACAAATAATTTAAAATAAAATAAGGAAAAGTAAATAATAATAATTACCAACTTTTGCAATCAAACCAGTTTTAGCTCCTAATTTGTTTGCCATGACAGCCTGATTAGCTCCTTTTCCGCCACATCCTTTCAAAAATCCTTTCCCAGCCATTGTCTCCCCAGGTCTTGGAAATCTACTTGCATAGCTACAAATTAAATATAAATGTAAAAAAATAAAATAAATAAAAATATATAAAACAGTTTCAAATCAAAAATATTATGCAATCAATCAGGAAAAAAAATTTCGTATTCAAACTTAAAAGCTTTGAATTGCCAAGTCTCAAATCTAGCATTTATGAAGTTTTTATGCACCAATTTCTCATTGAAGCTATATAGTTCAGGAAGATAACTAGGTCAAATAGCATAAATATTTAGCATGAACACTTAATGGTTTAACATAAACTTTTAAAGTTATCATGCGAAAGAAATAAAATTTATAGATATAAAATTATCAGTGTAAAAAAGAAGAAGAAAAACTACCACATCATTGAACAATGTAAAAGCTTCATTATTAGATATAAAAATCTTGCATACTCATAATTGTAAAAGATAAGCAATGAAAGTGAAATTATAAGTGTTAAACAATAAATTTTTTACATCTCATAAAATTTTATAAAAATATTTAGTGTTTTTAAATTAAACTTACTCACTAACCAAAAGGAAACAGACCATTAGAAAAAATTAAAAATAACCAAACTTTTACAAACTTATAACTAAAGGCTAAACAAAGGCTTTCTTCAACAGCTTTTCGAAAGACTGATAGAAAATATAAGATGTTCTCTTGAGTATAAAATCTTGATATTTTAATGTATTTCAGTTAGTCTAAATATCTATCTATAAAAATAAAACCAACAAAAAGGAAAATTCTGTTGCACAAAATTGTTCCAAAGAAATGGCATTATAGGATCTCTTTGTTTTTTAGTTAAACGATTTAAGACATTTTATTCTAATTAATTAATGGTTGTAATTTTGTAACTTATGATTTAATATTGCATAAGTTTGATAACTCTAGATAAATTCAGTTCCTAAAATCAATTGTGAAGACTGAAAGGCTTTATTTAGCTTCCCTCGAAAGTGATGTATCTTAAACTGGAAAGTGATTTTTTACACATAAAAAATATTCGAAATTGAAAAAAAAAAAAATTAATAATAGAACCAAACTTCAATATCAATAATCAACAAGGTTTAGTAATCAGCAAATTTGCTTTGTCAATTGAAAATGGTTATATATACATATATATATATATAATAAATAAAAGCACATTTATTTTAAAAAAAAAATAAAAATTTTAATTACTGACAGTAATCGTTAAAGAAAATAGAATCTAATTAAAAATGCGCTAACACACATTTTTATGCTAAAATATATCAATAGTTTATACATATATTTTAGGTTTAATAAAATGTGACAAAATAATAAAAATCTCTTAAAACAACACCTTATTAAATCAACAATACATCCACCTAAAACAACAATATCGACCATCTTTTCTTATAAAACTACTTAAGGGCAACTAAATAAATGGAAGTGAGGACAAAATCAGAGCTTAAGGATGGAGATATGACTGAAGGTTACATAATTTTTTTTTTTAAAGTTCACTATCTCAAAATGATTATTGAATATATAGCTAGGCGGCATTTCTTTCTCCCGTTTGTAAACAAGCAGACGATATGGAAAGCTAAATGTTGCCATTTTATCAAACCTAATATTGAAAAAAAAGGAGGAACTAAATATATACGTCACATAAGTGGCATGACGACACAGTGACCTACTGTAAAGTTAAAAATTGGGCTGCCCTGCAAAACTCCAAAACAAATGACATTGACTGGCTGAAACGATAAGTGTGCTATCTCACGAAGGTCGTCGCTTTATTGATAGTAATTTCTTTTATAAATTGCGGTGTGACTGTACTCCTCGCTAATTTCCGTTAATTTTCATTTTGTTAAATTTTAAAAATAAAAATGTCTCGATTTTCATGCGTTGAAGGCTGTCCGCCTGTCGAGATTTTTGCATTGAGTAAAGCATTTAAAGAAGATACATTTCCTGATAAAGTTGATTTAGGAATCGGCGGTAAGCTGATTTATTTATTTTAAGGTTTATTTTATGCTTTGTTCATAGTTCTCAGTTAATAGAATTCTTGTTGAAGATTTTTGTGTTTGAAAATTAAGTGAAGGTGGTTTAAAGTAAGTAATTAACATATTTGTTTAACAACAAATTTGAAAGGAAAAAAAATATTAAAAGAGGTTTGTAAATAAAATAACAAATTAAAATGTGTACTTTTTATATTAATTTCTAATGATAAAAGTAATCAAAAAGTATTGCAATAGTTTTTTATTTAAAAAAAAAGGAAACATTTAAGCCACATAATTTGGAATCCCACCATTAATAAAGCATATTATTTTTTACGAGCAATTTATTTAAAGTTTATTATTCAAACAAATATAAATATTTGCATAGTTGTTGAATTATTGAAAAATTAAATAGATAACCATATTAAGTATTTTCAAAAAATTTAAAATAACTTTTAAATTTACTTTAAAGTTTGAAGTATTCTTAAGCTAATTGCATTACATCTTCATCCACTTCAAGCTGTCATATTTGAAAATTACTTTTAAAATTATCCATCATATTTTCGCACTTCTTTTCTTCTTTTTATCCCAAAAAATATAAAACTTCAATTTTTTTTAAAAAATGTTTTCTAGTTGTATATGTAAACAAGACTTAGTTCTAAATTAAAATGATGAGTGTTTTGTACCATAAAAGTTTTTAGTATAACATAAGTCTTTATGGCAGTCATAATTTTATATTCAGTTTAGGAATATATATATGGTTGTTGCTTTTGCTGTTAAAGTAGACCTAAATAAATCCCAGAAACCTTATGATCCTTCTAATTGAAAGTCACTCCTGTTTGCTGTTTATGCTAAAGATCGATATTCTCGAAAAGCTGATTTTATTTAATTAAAAACAAATGTACCTAGGTATTCAAATGTGCTATAATTTATAAAATATTTAATCAGGTATTTGATTCTGATAAGTTTTGCAGGAATATTTTTTTAAATTTTTGTTCTTTCTTTTTAATATAATTACCTTACTGAGATGGCCATTTTAGCATACTTTATTTAGCTCTATCATTTGATGTTTTATTTTTGCGGGTTTTATATTTTCTATTGCATTTCTTGCATATGGTTATAAATGTGTATATTTTTATTCTTATTTTATTTATTTATTATTTTTTTTAACGATAACAACAACATTGAAAAAGTAATAGTAATAAACATATAAAGTTAAATGTGCTGATAAAATTTAAGGGATACAATAACTCAAAATGACGTAGAACTTTGGGTTCTAAATGAACATTTTGTACTTAAGTGAATGATCTACATTCACTCTTGTAAAAAAATTTCATCCATGCAATATTTTTTAAAGGATAGGTACAACATTCAAATTGTAAAAATAATTTTCCTGTAAAGAAAGTGTTTCTTTCAAAAACTGACTTAAAGCCATAATATTTAAGTGTATTATTACAAAGGCTGTTCAGTAATTACCACCCTTAGTGTATGTTTTTATAATAACTGTCAAACATGGAGACATTAGAACTTGTAAAATTAAGTGTTACATAACTTATATTTAACTGAGAAAAAAAAAAACTGAAAAAATTTTCGAAATAGGATAAATCAATATCAGTTGTAATTACAGCAAAGTAAATAAAATTATTAAAACCAGTTTATTTGTCATATGAAATTGAAAGGTATCCTTATTCTCTTTTTACCACCTTTCTGTTCCATTTGATTTTTTTGTTAGATTTTTATATGAATAATTAATTAAAATATAAAATGTTTGACCTCTAATAAGTTAGTTCAATTGATAATAATTTCTTACATAGATTTTACTGTTATATATTTAAGTCCTTAATTACTGAACACCTTGTTCGTATAAAAAGTTTAACATACCGATTTAAAATTTTTGAAATTAAGAAAATTTAAAAACGTTTTAAACTAAAAGTAAACCATTTATAAAATACTGTCTTAGATGGTTTTCTAGGTTCATTTCAAAGCAAAGGGGCATTCTAAATCTAATCCTATAGAATTTAAAATAAATATATGATGAAATATCTGAATATGCTAAAACGCGTGAAGAAAATATTTAATATGTCGTTTGCGAAAGTGTGGCTTTTCCCCTAATCAATAGGAGTGTAAACTATTTTAGAGTTTTCTTTGTTATCAATTTTAAAGCATTGTTTCATTAAAGACAACATTCATAGTTCAGTGAAGTAGTACTACATTAAATCATTGAATACTGTTCTGTGAAAATCATCAATGTCTTTCAAACAAAGTATATTTCAATTTTTTCAAAATTAAATTCGAAAGTAATACAAAGGGGTAATAAGTCTGAAAACTAAAATGGTAAAAATCAATTTTTCTAAAAAAAAAAGAAGGAAATTGCTGTGCACTCTATTTTTCTACTGTTGACAGATTAAAGTAAAATTCATTCTTAAACTTTTTTGAAATTATTAAATTATGTTTTTTAAATTGCTATAACTCTATTCATTGTTTTTTAAGCATTTTTAAGACTTTTTTTTTTTTACTTTGCTCCAAAAGAACTATAAAAGTTCACTATTATATTAAAAATCACCCTGCCAACTTATAGAAAGGAGAACACTGTCTTATTATGAGGGGAATCCTTTAAAAAATACATTTAATTAATTAAAATATTAGCAGTAGGGTGCGAAACCATATTAAACGCATTATGCCTAAAGATGTAATTAAACTTTTTAATGACATAAAAAATAATTAAAGATATATATTTGAAGTACCTTTTAATTTTTTTATACACAATTCAAGTCATTTAAATTAAGAATATTTTCCATAAAAGTATTAGCTAAATTAGAATATGTAAGAAAGATATTGTGCATTTGATATTAAAGTGTATATGAATGGATTTTTTATGAATTTAATAGGTAATCTTTTACTTTCTCAAAACAGCATTTTTTATAATTTTGGATTAAAGATTTTCCTCAACTTGATTTTTAGCATACAATAAATTTGATTATAAATAATTTCTATCACCTTAGAATAGGAGAAAGATAGGGTAATTTTATTAAAAAAATTCTTAAAATTTTACTTATGGTACGATATTAGTTAGCCTTGGAATAATATCTTGAAATCTTTTATTATACTTAAAAAATATAAATTTGATAGTAAATATTAAATGTTTTATAACTCCAAGCATGTTTTTTAAAGAATAAACCTATACAGAATGTCTAAAAATATTTTTGAAAGCAAGGACAGCGTGCCATGTATTTACTTATTATATATAATGACAATTATTTTATCCGACGTTATATTTTGTGATGTCTAAATAAATAAAACTTGTGTCGTAACTTAAGGATAATAGATTTTTTAACTATTTTTGCTATTTCACATATCTTTATCACTTTGAGTTATTTATAAGCAATTGATATGCATATTTAAAATTGTGTTTCTCTTTAACTGAAGAAAAGATTGTAGCAACTATTTAAGGGATGTTCTATCTCTTCTTTTAAGTAAAATTTTATTGAAAAAAAAGATTATTTCGGAAAAAATGTGGCTTTTAGATTTCACTTAATTGCAGGTTCATAAAAGTTATTCATGTCATCAAAACAATAAAAAATACTGTTTCAGCAATATCTAATAGGTTAGAAAACTTGCATTGAAAATATAAGTTGCTATTTACTTCTTGTGTTATAAATTAGCTTTCTTGTTGTTTAAATTCATAAAAGACAGTTACAACAATGATTCACAACGATAAGTGTAATGTCATGGTTACCTCAACTGTTGAATGAGTTAGAAATTAGTTTTTTTTATTTTAAATAAAATTGTAGTTGTACAACCCCTTTCTACTCTAATTCTCCTTTATTAATAATTTAAACATCTGAGTAAAATATCTTACAATCATGCAATGAATGATATTTTTTAAATGATAGTGAAATTTATGCATTGTGGTTTCTTGTGCTGACTTATTAACTAATTCAAATTTCAACCAGTTAAATAAAAAGTTTTATAGCATGCTTCTAATTTAAACTTTGCATTTTAATTATTTTAATTGCTTTTAAAGTTTTTATAAATAAGTCATAAATCCTGCCTTTTACAGCATTATTATTTTCCATTTTCTTTTTAAATAGTTTTATATCATAAGGGGTCTGTCTAGGTTTTTCTGACAGGTACCTATTTTGTGAAAATTTAGACGTAATTTGTGAAAAATTAAAAATTATATTAAGAAATCAACACAAAAATATGGATTTATCGTTTCTTAAGGGATACAAAAATGAAATTTTAAGAAAAAGTATTTTGTGAAACTACCGTTTTTCCAAAATTGAATTTGTGAAACTACCGTTTTTCCTAAAGTTGAATTTGTGAAGGTACCGCTAAACGGTAGTAAATTCGGCCTGGACAGACCCCTGTAAATACATTTAGTTTTCCGGAATTTATTTTATGTAACTATTTTAACCGTTTGCTTAAGCCATTATTGTAATTCAACCCATGAAAAATAATGCATCTTCATTTATTGTGTGATCACTAAATTAATTAATAATCATTGTTTTGAGAAAATCAAATATTCAAACAATGTTTTTTTTAAAATTTATCTAAACTCAAAAGCATGCGTATATGATTATGTTATCCAAAGCACACACACTGCACAAATATATATTTAAAAAAAAAAAATTTGTATTTACTTAATAATTGGCTTACAAAACGATTTGTTTCTCCCCTTTCTTAGCTTGTGAAACAGCTACGCTGCTGTTCAAATACAATATAACCTAGAGTACACAACTGAGGTTGTAGCTGTCCTATCCATAATATTTATTTTTTTGCCAGATACTTTTTTATTTTCAAGTTTATTATTTGTGAGAAAGATTAAATGGTTTAATACATTAATTACTTAAAATTTATGTGTAGATATAGATACGTAGGTAAACGAATTTCTGCATGATGGGATAACTTAGTGCACATATTGATAAAACATTTTTTAATTTTGTTAGAGAAAATAAGAATTTAATTCTGTTTGAGAAAATAAGAATTACGATGTCAAATTTCATGAATATTGGTTTCATATTGTTTTAAACAGGTTTGTCGGTAAAATATACTTCGCCGTTATTTTGAAATCAAATTCAGTGATTATATGATTTCAAACAAGATTCATGTAAATCCATATTTAGAGCTGAAAATGTTCGTTCACTCGAGAAATTTTTTTTTTTTTATGAAGTCATTTCCGTTCATTTCTAGGGATTACAAGGGACTTCATTGTCTATCATAAATACCAGAAACACCAATGAAGACAACATTGCATTTTTGCAGTTCAGCCTCCTAGTTAACAAAAACAAACCTCCCAGTTAACAAAAACAAAGCTCCTAGTTGCCGAAAACAAACCTAATTGACAAAATTAGATAGCTGACTATCAAACTAGCCTCATTTCTAGGCAAAGCTCTAATTACTTCCAGGAAATGTACCAAAATTGTGATAAATTTTAATGCTTTTGCATGGGTCCCAATAACAAACTATAGATGATTTTTAAGGCTGTTTTTGTTTTCAAGTTAATGTTCAAATAATACGTAAGCATCTAACGGGGGAGTTTTTTTTTGGCGTACTTATTTTTGCTGATAAAGGGTTGGAGGGATCTGAGCAGTGCTTACGAAAGAGATTAAAATCCACTTATTTTCAAAATTTTCTTGAAAAGCAAAATAAAAAAATGCAATAAAAAGTTCAAATTTAGAATAAAATTTAATTTCGGTAGGGAAATAAATGGAAAAAATTTCTTTGAAAAGTTTCAGAGGTCAACAGTTTTATTCCAAGGAAAATACGAAAGATTCCTTAAGAATATGCTGCTCAAAATTTTATCGAATGAATTAAAACATAAGCATTGTATTTTACAAAGTTACAACTTGTATTTGAATTAATCTTAAAATTACATTACTACAATGAAAGTCAAAGTTAAAACATAACTCGCAGGTAAGTTGCATTTTTTTTACATAATCATGGGAGGAGTTAAATAAATCTATCCATCCTATTTTTTTTTACTGGAAATGCTGCAAAAAACTTGGTTTAAATTCTTAATAGAAGTCAATAATTTTCTCAAAATATCGTGCTTAGTAACAAATTTTGATTTCATTTGCTGTGAACTTTAAAGTGCTCAGATATCATTTATCACAGAAAAGGGATACTCAATCAGATTGGGGAAAGAATGCATTTTTATCATATCAGTTGTATCAATAGTTTCTAGAATTGCCGTGCATTCCGAATTTATCGAAAGTAATCCTTCTAGAGACTTTTTGTGTTTTTATCCTCTCAATGATGTTATTCTCTTTTTTTTATTATTTATAACAAGATTTCATTTTTATTATTTCTCTGTATAATTTTTGTGTAAATTATGGAATAAAAATCTTCAGTGATTCCTCTAGACCTGATCCTTAGCACTCAAGACTTGAAAATTATCAGGTTTTTTTTTTACTATTTAAAATAATACTAATTTCCCATCTGAAAGATATCATGCAGGAAAAGTGAATTTTTTATGAAGAGAAAAAATGCTATTAGTAATTGAGTCATTAATTCAACAAAGTATTAAAACCAAATTTCTACATCAATTGGGTACATGCAATTCGAGAAGAAGTGAAATGATTATGCCTAACCATGTGATCTAAATCAGATTTATGTGATCTAAATCAGATTAAAGATCAAAACCAAGCGATCTTTTTAAAAGATAATAGGGTACATTATATTATGTTTAATGCTGAAAATTGGTTTAGAATAACGTATTAGAATAATATTTTTTCTATCTCTAACAAGTGTCGTTAAAGATAAAAGAAATCGGTATCACGGATAAGAAAATTTAATAATATATAATGCTACTTGAATGTAAAATAATTTAAAAATAAACTTAATATGGGGAAAAATTATCTATGATACTAAGTATACGATAATTTTTCTACCTCTTAACCCTTTTATTGAAACTTGCATTTTAAACGTTCATTCAATTGATATAGAAAACAAAGAAATTTCAAAAAACATAAGAGATATATCTGAAATCTACGATTTTAATTCGGATTAATTAGCCATTACTTCCATCAAGGAAAAAAGAAAGAAAAAAGAGAAAAAAACAACAGTGTGATTGATATTTAGGATTATGTTCATTTTCTCCCTATGCTATTAACTCAGGGGGGAAAAAGTACAAAAATATGGTATTTTTTTTATTTTTTAAAAAAAAAACAAAAAACTGAGGTTTAGCTTTGCCAATCTTAAACTTGTAGTGCGTCACTTTTTTTCAACTTTCATTCTTCTTGATTTAGAGTGTCCTAGGAAGTCCTAGAAAAAAGTTATTACGTGTCCTAGAGGGAACGCGTAATAACTTTTTTTAACGCTTTCCATCTTCGATTGTTTGCGTATTTAAGACATTATAGCGCGTAAACGGAACATTGAAGATTGTATAATTTGATGGCGAATAAAAGATGAAGTCCTGTAGTTCTTTGTAATAAATAATTCCAGTAACAATAGTTACTAATTCACCACTTGTCAAAATTCATAAAAGTATTTCTCTCGTAATATTTTCCTTGTTTTAACTCCATGAGAAGTTCATCTCCATTTTGATTCCGATTTGATAGTATAGATATTAGTATAAATTATTTGCCTTTTTTCATTGTAATGAATGAAAAGTTAAATTTTCAAGGGCATAGTTTTCAAATCATTCTTCAAAACATCATGTGCTGATTAAAGAGGAAAAGTAAGGTTTCTTCAGATCAAACTTTTCATTAAAAACATAAGTTTTTTTTCTTCTTTACAGATTGTTAACTTAAAAATAAAAAAACTGAAAATATTGCATATTTTCCTTTGGTGATTTCAAGGATAGTTCACAATTCTTTTAAATACTTTAGCTCTCAATACCTTGAAACATTTGCTTTAGTCTTGTTTTTTAACAAAATAATAAAGCCTGTATGTTTACTTCTCAGTGGAATTAACCAAAAAAAAAATAATAATAATAATAGTAATTTTGAGAATAAATAGTTGATTGTCAATAATAATATGAATCTGGATTTATTTGTTGCATCAAACTTCTCAATTGTTTACAACTCTTTAACACCTTTTGCCCGTACACCGTACGTGCTACCTTAAACTTATGAAATTTTAGCGAAACATTTTTCCCAGTAATAGTTAACTTGAGAAAAACTAAGGGAATTTCTTCGTTGGAAGATCAGGCCTAAATTGGCCCAAACACCTATTCCTTTTTTTTTTTTTTTTTTTTTTTTTTTTTTTTTTTTTTTNAGTAGATGGGATAAAACTTGGTAATTGTCTCAAAATTTGCTCATTTTATCATGATATCTAATATAAAGAACATTTATTTGGTTAAATTTAATTTTCAGTTTTGTATATTTTATTAAATATATGGTAGTAAGAACTATAATTTTGTAACGTAAAATTTTCGGTAAAACGCTAGCATGTGAACTGAAAACATATCAAATACAATAGTTTAAAAGACCGTCGCCAATAGCCCATTGTGCAGCTCTAGTGCGACGTAAATGAACTACTACTACTACTATTCAACATTTCTGGTAAAAAAATTAGTCTGTTCAGGGGTTAAAACCATTTTTTCCTGTAGTGTATCCTGTAGTGGTTCAGGTGATAGAGCACTCACCTCCCGATGAGGTGACTCGGGTTCGAATCTCAGCAATGTGGTTGGTGCGATTTTCGCATCCGGTCAACATCTAGAAGAAAGAAGGTCCCAGCACAGGTCAATTTAGTAGTCCGACGTAACGTTCATAAACTGCGCAGTGGATAAGGAATAAGGAAAATGTCATTACGTTCGACTTTAAGCTGCGCAGAGGTGGAAAATACGAAAAATGTTATTACGCTCGGACTACTAAAGGATCAAACTTCTTGTTTATGGTAACCCGTGCTGAGGCCTTCTCTTTTCTAGGAGGTATTGACACAGCTCGCACCTGCCGCAGTGCTGACGTAAAATATCCTTATTGGTAGACGGATCATGTGTTAGAATCCCTTTGTCGTCAGGCTAATTGTAAGAAGCTCTCGTGATTTTCCTCTCCATGTTACGCAAAAGCGGGTTCATTCCACCAAAAAATCCTGCACGAAGGCAAATTTCTCCCAATACTTGATCCAGACGTTCCCTTGTCTTCTGGATCGTGTTTAAAATTACGAGACTACGGTGGTCCTGAACTCAAAAATTAGACCGGATGTTCAATGACGGTTATAAAATCAAAACTTGAATAAAAAGAATTTATTTATTTTTTGAATTTTTTGTAGTATTTTTTTTTTTTTTGCAAGTTATTACATAATTTTTGTTTTACAATTTTACTTACATCGTTTCGTAAAAGTGGTAATAATAAAATTTTTTTAATGAAAGCTTGAGTAAAAACCACCTTATTAAGGATTATTACGCGTATAGATGAAAACTGTTAAATAAACTCTTTTTTTTCTCTTGCAGCTTATAGAACGGATGAAGCTAAACCGTGGGTCTTACCAGTTGTGCGCAAAGTGGAAACACAGATTGCGGCTGATCAATCGTTGAATCATGAATATCTTGGACAGCTCGGTATGGAATCATTCAGTAAAGCTGCTTCTGCAATGCTTCTTGGCGAAGATAATCTTGCTATCAAGGAGGGCAGAGTAAGATTTTCTTTCTCCTTTTTTTAGTATAGAAACTTTAGTTTTAATAGTTGGTATCTTAAATCATCAATGAGCTATATATACGTTTTTCAAATCACCTTCTGATGAGATATTATGAAGACCGATTAATATATTTGTATTTTAAGAATTAAATTGTATTATATAGTCGAAGCCTGTTATATAGAATTGTCTGCTGACTCAGCAATGAGCTCCACTGTAAATGGTGGTTCACTGTATCCTAATTCTTTGGGGAATTTTATTTATTTATTTTTTTTAGCGTATGATAATAGTATTATTGAAAATAAAGATGACGAAACTACATAATTTGCTTATAAAATAGTGATTTCCGATTAATTACAATTTAAGAATACACATTAGTGGAAAAAAGTTTGTTTATTCAAAGAAGAACGTTTTCGTTAAAATACCGTCTGCTAAAATAAATATCGTCTGTAAATTAAAATATCTTCTCGCATTGATTAACACATTCAAAGTTAAACCAACGAACTGTTACGATTGAGTCTTAATACCTGAAAATCCGATTATTACTCCACAAGTGATTAAGGTGTTCTATTTTTCTTTCTTTTTTTCTATTATTTCACCATACTTTAATTAAGTTGCAGTAAAATCTCGCGAATAAATGAAATTTAGAGTTAAAATTTGGCTTTTCTACTACATTTATAGTAAAGGCAATCTTCTCACATTTTTATCTTCATTTGTATGAATAACTAATTTAATAATTTTAAACTCATTCGTTAAATCTTGGTGCTTGATCTATATACATTTGACTAAGTCCAAAACGCAACTGATCACGCACACAGACATTAGAAGTAGTTTGTGTCCGCTGTTATATTTACACATATCGAGACTGCCAATATAAAAGCAGTTAAAAATTTTATTCCTTTTTAAAAAAATTTTTAAAAAGGAAAACATATTTCCATTGCAAGAAATAGAATTTTAGTTGAGGATAAATTATAAAGGTTTGTCTTAATTAATATCACTGATAGTAAAGAGATAAGACATAGTAGATATAAATGTTTGATACCTAAACTTTTTAATAAAAAAATGTGTTACATCTTATACATTTTTCATTTTGATAGCAAAATTTTAACTGTAATCTACAATCATTCTGAGAGCTCTTATCAGATATTAGTAGCACCCGCGTATTTTTAAGACAAGTAGATGAAGTCAAAAGACGCCAACTAGGAAAAATATAAATTTTCGATATTTATTACTATTTTGTAATGTTTTTCAAAGAGCGAGTATGTAATCAAATAATCGAAATTCTAAATTGAAAATCCAGTATCGTGCCCAAATTACTCAGATCAGTCGAATTTAATAATTTTTGTATTAGAATCGGATATTCGAATTTACCACATTGTTTTTTTTTAAATATATTTACACCATTTTAAATTGTGTAATTTGAAATGACAATCTACGAAATTTGAACGAAATTGGTAAAAAGTATGAAGTTTAAAAGTACTACGACCTTTTTGAAATTTTTATAACTCAGGAGCCGAATTGGAACCGAATTCGTTCAAATTATGTATTTTGTCATTTTAAATTACAAAATTTTAAATAGTGTAAAAAGTTTATACTTTACAATTCAATTCTTTCCTATTCTTAATTTAATAAAAAATAATATAGTTTCTTTCGTGGAAATAATTAATTTTGGATGAATGAATTTCATAATTATGTTCAAAAAATTTTCGATTCGTTTTAAAACTTATCGAGGTATGACGAAATGCGCAAAAAGTGAATTAAGCATTAAGGAGGCTCTAACTTTAGATCTTTTTCTTGCTTGCTCGGACCATATTTTCTTGATTTCGGCAATCGCCCTCCCCCCCAATTGTTTTGGTGGTTAAAAATTATTATAAAATATGAATTTAAAATATAAATACACATGAATTAAAAAATATGAATTACAAACTTTAAAATGTTTTTTTAATTAATTATTTTACATTTTTTTAAAGATTGTAATTTTTATAATGACTCTTCTGAAGTTCAAATTTAGATATATGTACGATTGCTTTTATTATTTGTTGCATAATTATATTTAAATTAAGCATCTTAAATTTTTTATACTATTGCTTTTATTTTAATTTTTACAAAATTATATTTAAATTAAGCACCTTAAATTTGAAGTAAATTATCTCCTACATTTGTCTTACTCCTAATTGTAAATTTAGATTAAAAATTAAAAATGTAGTTAAAAATTGTAACTTTTATTTCTTTACAAGATAATAAAGTTCACTTAAACTTAGAAAATCGAAATAGTTAGATATTTTATATAATCAGTTTTGCAGAGTTATATTTAAATTGAACATCTATTTCCTACATTTATCCTACTCCTAATTGTAAATTAGGATTAAAAATTTGAATTGTAATTAAAAATTGTAACTCTGTTTTATTTCTTCACTGGATGATAAAATTCTAGAAAATTGAGTAGAAAGTCAAAACAAATTATATATTTCATGAACTATCGTTTTTATTCATTTTTGTACAGTTATATTTAAATTGATCATCTAACACTTGAAGTAAAATATCTCCTACGTTTATCTTACTCTTAATTGTAAATTAGGATTAAAAATTAAAATTTTAATTAAAAATTGTAACTTCACAAGATAATAAAATTCACTTAACATAGAAAATCAAATCAAGTAGATAATTATTATATAGTATATATATTTTATATATTGTTTGTAATCAGTTTTGCACAATTATATTCAAAGTTAGCATCTAATATTTGAGTTAAAAATATTTCCTGCATTTATCTTACTCTTAATTGTAATTAGGATTAAAATTTAAAATTATAATTTAAAACTGTAACTTTGTTTTATTTCTTCTCAAGATTTTAAAATTCACTTAGCATCTAAAGTAAATATTATATATATATATTATCTATATAAGCCCTAAAACCTAGGGATGCGCAGCCTTTTTGAGTGAAGTGCCACTTGCACAGCAGGTTAACTAACGAAGGGCCGCATGCGTGTTTAGACATTTTGAAGACAAATATAGTAATATTTAATTAAACATTTTTTAAACGCTAACTTATTTTTTTAATCAGTAAACTTATAATAGATTTGTAGAATGTGCAAATATAATGTGCTTGAATGAAAATTCATGTGCTTGGAAATTTATCTTTTGGAAGACAAATGGAAAAACGAAATTTGAAGAATTTAAACTAGATTTTACTGAACCACAAGTTTTCATCCTTCTGCGTTTTTTTAAAAATTTTTTTTGTTATGTTTAGCTAAGTCAATTTCGTCATTTTTTTTGACGCTTTTAGATCTAAGAAGTGGCTGGGTGGCGCATTTGGTTTGTCGTCGGCTTTCTGAGCCAAGTCTGCGGGTTCGATCCCCGGCCCAGACATCAGATTTTCGGGATGCAGAGAATCCTTAGCGGCCATGACGTATGATTATGCGGCATGTAAAAGATCCCTGGAGTGCCTTATAAGCTCTTGGCATTTCTGGCAAAATTAAATTCCTAGTGCAATTTAGCATCCAAATAAGAGTCGGTGCTGCCATCTAGTAACACATTCAAAGTTAANCATGTAAAAGATCCCTGGAGTGCCTTATAAGCTCTTGGCATTTCTGGCAAAATTAAATTCCTAGTGCAATTTAGCATCCAAATAAGAGTCTCGGTGCTGCCATCTAGTGTGACAAAAACTAGACGTCCAAATTAACATGGCCAACGGTATCTCACCCATTGTGGTGGTCCTGAAAAAGAACCACTTCTGGAGAACTCACTAGGTCTGCTCATGTGCGCGCGCTTGTGCAGCTCATTGGAAATAAAATTAAAAAAAGATCTAAGAATTAATAAAGTTTTTTTCTTCTTCCTTTTCTCGTTTGTTTTATTTTTGCTGTTTTTATTATAGTACGGTATTTTAACGGAACATTTCAGATAGCCTATTCATTTATTGTCACTTTTTTTCCTGTACTGTAAAGTAACTATCCTGTAACATAGAACACTGTTTTTCAATGTGAAAGTTTTGTTTTAGGAANTTTTTTTTTTTTTTTTTTTTTTTTTTTTTTTTTTTTGTTCTTTTTAAATTTTTTTATCGGCGTTTTTATCATGGCACAGTATTTTTTTAAAAAGCGTTTATAATAAACTATTTTATCGAAATTTTTTTCCAAAAATACGGCAACGAAAAAGTTAAATTGAGTTTAAGTTTTTTATTTTTATCTAGCTAATTCTTTTATTTAAAAAAAAATCTTATTTTTATTGACATTTTTATTAAAAACGTTTCTATTAGTCTTTATTCTTTTTGCTTCACTCTTTCTAGAAAATAAGGTAATTGAAAAACAGCTTTAAAATGTTCTTTTGAGTATTAAATTTTTTTTTCTCTGTTTCGCTTTTGTATATAATCTTCAGTTTTTACGGGCTTTTCTATGAGAGCATGGCCTTTTGAAAAGCATTTCTGATAGGCTATTTTTTTAGCATTGTTTTATGAACGCGTTCTCATAGAAAATATTAATTTTAGCATTGAAATTTCGGTTTAAATGTTGCTATCTGGCCCCTAATATTTTACATATTTTTATTGCCGAATATCTGGTTTTTAACCAAATCACAAACCACATCACATCGACCAAATCACTTTCGTCATCGAAAAAAACGATGGAAAAATAATCAGGATTTTAAAAACCGTATGGAGATAATTGTAACTGCCGAAAAAACGATCGAAACGTCACTCGGATTTTTGATGAAATCGGTAAAAATAAAGCTAATCAAAAAATGATTACTAAAATTTGTATCGTAATATTGGGTTTATTTAAGCCATGCGGAGAAAGAGATCGAGAAATAACATACTTACTATAGAATATGAAAATTGTGCGCTTCAAAGAGTGATAACTCAAAAGTGCAATTTAAAATAAAATTTTTTTTTTTAATTTTTGAATTTTTTTTTTATTGTGTTAATAAGCTTCTGCGGGCTGCACATCAGCAGTCGATGGACTACAGATTATACACCCTACTATAACCATATATATATAAGTTCAAAATGAAGATAAAACAAAGGAAAATTACAGACAAATGAAAAAAGGTGGGAATAGAAAATTAATTATAAAAAAATAACAAAAACTGGAGAAAAAAATCCGAAAAAAAAGGATAGAATTCTTTTAAAAAATCAGTAAAATAAAAGATATAATCTTTTCATCAGCTCACACGATTATATCCGCAATTAATTTTGTTCGTGTTTTTTTGTATTTATTATGCTATATATATATATATATATATTTTTTTTCACATTTGCATAGTTATTTTGCATATTTAAGTTGTACATCGTACATTTGAAGTAAAATATCTCTTATATTTATCTTACTCCTAATTGTAAATTAGGATTAATAATTAAAATTGTAATTAAAAGTTGTAACTTCGTTTTATTTCTTCATAATATAATGAATTGCTTATATATTAGAAAATTAAATAGCATTATTTAGCAAAATGTGTCCTCCGGATTGATGACTTATACATTATTTTTGTTTGATCATTAAATCGCTTTGCTGAAAAATTTTTTTTTTCTTTTTATGATTTTTTTAAAAGATGTTCTGAGATCATTAGTGTTCATTATTAAAATTGCTAAATGAAGCAAATTGATTTTTTCATGATTTCCAAAAGATGTACTAAGATAATCTTTCTTTAAATCTTAGGTTATAAGCTGTCAAAGCTTGAGTGGCACAGGTGCTCTGCGTGTTGGTGCTGACTTCTTAACAAGATGTGCAAAGTTTAAGGATTTCTATATGTCATCTCCCACTTGGCGTAAGTATTAATCATAATTTTTTTATTATTAATTAGTTCATTTCCTTTGAAATCTTTAATTTGTTAGAATTTTATGTCCTTAAAATTTCATCGCATGAATTATTTCATGAGGAAAATATTAAAAATTATAATTTTTTTTCCATCTCATGATTATATTATGTTATGCTATAAAATATTAAATTCAAATTTCGTTGTATTAAAGCCGCATTTTGTAATAATATTTTAATCAAAAAAAAGTTTTTCCTTATATAACCTTCATTGTATAAAAAGTGTAGGTTTTTTTTCTTCAGGTATTTCATCTGCAAGCAAAGCAATCTACCTAAATAAAATCCAGCTGAAACAACATCTTATTAAAATAAATAATAATAAAATCTTCTTTTTCACTATTTCTCTCTTAAAAGCATGGGCATAAAGAGGGCACCCTTTTTGTTTTTAGGAAACTGTAAGTTTAAGCTTAATGTATATATGCATATTAATTTTTTATATATATGTATATTTATTCACAACTGTATCTATAAAACAAATAGGTAACTTTTTAAAAACGAAATATGTGCTCCCCGCATGCTATACCTATGCATAAAAGATTAATGATTTAAATTATTAAAATAAAATCAATGATTTTAATCCTAAAAACCTTTTATTTTTGGAAAAATAAGACTAAGTAATTAAAAACAAAGCCAGTAAAAAATTTAAAAGTTTCGAAATAAACTTGTACCAACATTATCACATATACATATAAATATTCTCAGAAATGGCAGAAACTGGATTTTTTTTTACTGAAGGGTGTTGGGTAATAACCATGTAAACTAAAGACTCTGGTTTTTGTCAGAATGTATTTATGCTTTCTTGTATGTGATATACACTTGGAAGTATAATATTTATTACTGGATTTATTTAGAAAAAGGATAAATACGATACAGTAAATCAACTTTTTTGCTACATAAGTCATTAATTCTTTATTGACTCGACCCTCCTGACTAAGCCTTATCTAGGCATTTCTGGTGTCTGTTTTCATATTTTATCCTTAAGAGCGTTGAGATCTTTTTTTAACACAAACTGTTCATCTTAGTTGGGAGTCTGACCTGAGATCTAATAATCTGAGATGGGAGAGTTTACATGAAAGATTTTCTCCTATCAATGGTATTTTGATTTCTTCATTCTGACCAGATGATCAGCCCATTCAAGTCTCTGTAATTTAATATTTTTTTAAAAACCATCACTGCCATTCAATAATTAGTTCACTGCTATTTATTCAATAAATTTATAAAAAATAAACATCTTGGTTATCCTGCTATTTTTCCCCTTTTATTAGGGTTATAATAGAAAAAAATTCTATTTATCTTCTTTAAAAATTGATCTTACTTTATTATCATAATTAAAAAAAACAATTAGGTACAAATATCTAATTTTTGTCACTTTATTCTTTAAACTTTTATTACTTTGTTCTTCACCAACTTTTTTTATAGTATGTAAAATTTTATCTTCTAAAATATTTTCTAAAAAATCTTAGAACAAAGAAAAAAGAACATAAACCATTATTTATCCTAATTTATCTTATAATATATCTGTAGTATAGTATACTACATATTAATTAAAATCATTTGTTATCTAATTTCATTATCTAATCATCTAATTTATTTAATCATCATCATTCATCTAATTTAATAATCATTTGTTAATTGTTAATTTGCTAATAATGTAATAAACAGTTAAAATAATTGTAACTGTTAAATTTGTGATAAACTTTTAATTGTATGTTTTTTAATTTCTTCTTTTTACACTTGTAATTAATGTTATTTATTTGTCAGTATTCAATAATTCCTTGCAATAATTTCCTATAATATTTAAGTTTTAAGCCTCAATTTATTTTGTAACCTTGGGAAAGTAATCTTTCTCTGCATGTATGTTCTTCCTTTAAAAGAAGATTCCTCCTTTTGTTACTTGCTGACAGCAAGATGTATGTCCAGTCAGCAAACCCCTATTGTTGGATGGAGAAGAATGACACCAAGTCACCTTTCCCACGTTTCGGCTTGCATCAAATGCAAAGCGCCCCTTTTGATCTTATGATGGCGCCAAGAATGTTCCAGAACATTCCACAAAATTCTTTACCAGGTGTATCACCACTTTAGACAACCCCGCTTCATGTTTGGCATGGAGCTTAACAATTAATTTCGCCAGTTGGCCAATATTTGCAGCTCTGTGATTTGCCCCTCTGATCCTTCTCCGTCCAACCAATGCGATATTCGTAAAAGTTTAATTTTTTTGCCGAGAGTTTTCTCCTCTATCTTCATAACGAAGAAATAGTCAGTCGTTGTTTTGTTTCAATAGTGTTTGTTTTGGTTTTTCGGCTTAGGCCGAGTTTTTTGGTGTTGGCATGTTTGCCAAGCATTTTTGTTTTTTATAATGTTAAGTTATCAATAAACATTTGTTGTCCGCATCCCTAACTATGAGTCTGGTGAGTAATTTTATTATGTAAGTTGTTTTCTCTTCCTTCCTTTTTTTTCCAGCATGTTCCTCGGTTGCACTGACCTGAAATTTTGCGCCCACTTCCAATGTACCCCACTATCATCTTTTTCGGCCTTTACATAATTAGTTTCTAAATTTTATTTAATCTTAAGATGACTTAATGTTAGTCACCCACCTTTTTCCCCTTTTTGATTTAGCCACACCACAATATCATCATACTAATATTTTTAAGAAAAATTTTGCAATTCTAGTTTTTTCAATGTTAACATTTAATACCAAATAATGTCAAAACCTATTTTCACATTTTAATCTATCTTGGTGACTAAATAAATCATTTTTAATAATTTTAAAAGTCCATATTTTCTACCTCCTTTTTTAGTAGCCTTATTAAATCATTGTATTAATAAAATAAAAAAAACTGCAAGTTAAATGTAGTTTAACATAGTGTTAGGTGAAATTCATATATTTTATTTAATTATAACAGCAAACCACAGAACAGTGTTCAAGGATGCAGGTTTTCCAAATGATCACACTTACAGATACTGGAATGCTCCCACTAGAGATTTAAATTTCAAAGGCATGATGGAAGATTTAGAAGTAATTATTTGTTTCAATTCTTATAATTAATAAAATTTATCTGAATCTACATGATTTATATATTTATCATCTTTTGTATTTTATGAAATCTTCGTGCTACTTATAATTTATAAAATGTTACTATCTATTTAAAAAAAATATTTATATCAGTTTAGAACTTAGCAAAAGAAAATACTATTTGCATGTTTGAGGCATGGTGGCTCAAGGGATAGAGCACTCACCACCCAATTAGGTGGCCCAGGTTCGAATCCCAGTGATGCCTGGTCAATAAGAATTCTTCACTCTGCTCGCACAAACTACAATGCTGACATTAAATATCCTTAATGATAGACTGGTCATCGGTTAGAGTCCCCTTGCCATCAGGCTAACAGTGGGTGTTTTTCGTGGTTTACCTCTCTCTATATAATGCAAATGTGGGTTAGTTCCATAAATAAAAATACTCCACAAAGGCTAATTTCTCCCAATACTTGATCTAGGAGCTCCCTTGTCTTCTGGATTGGGTTCAAAATTGCGAGGCTACAGAGATGAACATTGGTAGTCGTCAACTCAAAATTGGGTTGTCTGTTCAACTACGGAAATAAAATAAAACTAAATTTGCATGTTTAATTGTATGTTTTTATTGTTATTCATTTTGAATGAATACTGTATTATTTATAGGAATAGTATTGATATTGCATTAATTTAATTTTGAATTGTTGTATTGCATTCATATGGACTGGTAAATTTACCATTTTAGCAGATTTTTAAAAAAAAATTCTTTTAAATTCAAATCTGAAAACTTGGCAATGCACCAATGAATTGTACTTAATGTTAAGGTATCGGTTGCCTTTAAAAAACTTTTCTATTCAATTATCTGGATTGAAAATAGTTCAAGAAATCATTTGGTTCTATTGGCTATGAGAAATATGTAATGAACTGCAACTTCTGTTTAACTCTTATAGTTTAAAAAATAAAATTAATTAAGCTAGTATAAAATAAATCAAAAATAATGAGTAAAGAGCAAACTATGAAGTTAGCCTTATATTCTTTGTAATAATATATCTTTATGATGTCATTCAACATATGTTTAAAAGGTGTTGCCTGATGTTAATTTTTTTCTTCAGATGGAAGGCTCTTCAATTTACAAGAGTTTTAACATTTCACACTTCTTGCTAATTATTGTAACAATTGTAAAAAAATTAGCTTTAGCTAATATGATTTTGCTGATATGAGTGTTCATTTTTTTATGAAATTGCTAAACTACTTTGCGTAAAATTCAAAATAGATTCTGCCAAATTTTCAATTTGCTGAAAAACTATTATTGTTATAATTGTAAAAAAAATCAGTTCCACTGAGACTTTTAAACTCACATATTTTGCATTCAGATACTTTAAAATTCATAACCTTTTTTTTTACCCTTTTTATAAATTATTTCCTTTTTTCACTTTTAATTTATATATTTAATTAACTCAATAATTAATGATTAATTAATAATTTATACAGATTTTTTTTCAATTTTTAAACATTGTTTTCAGATATTTTAAAACTTTTAATCTTTTTTTTATAAATCAACTTTAGTTTTCAATTATAATTTACATAATTGATAAATTGAATAGTTAGTCATGAATAATTATTAATTTTTCTATTCTCTCTTATTATAGAAATTTTATTTTCAGATAATCTAATATGTATAACGTTTTTTTTAAAAATTATTTTCATTAACTAAATATTTAGCTTATAATTAACGTAATTGTTTTGTAGAATGCTCCTGAGGATTCTGTAATCATTCTTCATGCCTGTGCTCACAATCCCACTGGTGTTGATCCTACACAGGAACAGTGGAAACAAATTGCTGATCTAATGGAGGTAAACATATCTGTGTTCTCTTATAATAAGATCATAATGATTTTTTAACTATATAATTTCCAATTAATTTTTGAACAAAATTTGATTCATGGATACACATATAATATTCATCATCAGTNTTTTCAAAAGATTTGCCTTTGTTATCTTGTATGGGCAGAAAAGTTTAAAAATAAATCTCAAACATTTGTTCTGACACCACCACGATAAGGTGGGAGCACCATCGGTGTAGACACATATAATATTATTTACATTAAATTGTAATGTTCTCTGTTGTGTTTAAGCTTGACTAATTTTTGCCATTTAAATGTAATTTATGAGTACTATATTTTACCCTAGATGTACATTTTATACTGTATTTAAACAACTAAAAAAAGATTTCTGTGGTGTGCATTACTGGGAAAAAATTTAACTTATACTGTTATTAGAACTGTTAAATCAGAAAAGACAATTTAGCATTTTCTTTCAATAATTCCCAGAATAATAAGTTCTGGTAAAAAATATCTTATTTAGAAGCCATCCCTTTCGCTTTATTTAGTTTGTAATATACTGTTGAAAAATTTTAAAATAATTTTTTTTTTAAAATTTTCCTATGATTTTTTTTTCATACAGTTTTTTTTTAAATTCTAGCTTTAATTTAAATAATTTTTATTTTCATGAGAAGTTATCATGCTACGAAATACAGAAATAAATAGTTTTAACTCCTGTTAATGCTACTAACTAGTCTGTGACTGTCAATGTCTCAAAAAAATTTGTATACTAACTAATGGATCAAATGCACAATAAAAAACTGAAAAACAATCTCCTTTAACCCTAAAATATATGTTAGAAAAATCGAATAGTTTCGAATCGAAAGTTTTGCAGCTCTGAAATACTTGGTGTAAAAATATTTTATTTTCAAAAAAATAAATAAATAAAATATTCATTATCATATTTGGTAAAATTTATTCTTAATTATTCATTTTGATTTTCAGAAAAAGAAATTATTTCCCTTTTTTGATTGTGCCTATCAAGGTTTTGCATCAGGTGACCTTGTAAAAGACAGCTGGGCAGTCCGCTATTTTGCTCAACGAGGTTTTGAACTGATATGTGCTCAATCATTTGCCAAAAACTTTGGTCTTTATAGTAAGTAATAAAAAAATATAAGTCCAATAAATTTTTTCATCTGCCTCTTTAAAATTTACACATTCTAAAGGAATAAAAATTTGATGATATTATTTCTTTGTTGAAAAATAAAACTTATTTGTGTTGAATACTTCCTTATTTTGGATACCAAATACATCTTTGTGGATTTATGCATAAAAGCGTTGATGTAGATATGTGATTAATATAATTTTTTGCTTAGTTTAAAAATAGCTACATTTGTATGTTTCATTAATATGCAATCAGAAAGGATGATAGACTTGTTAAAATTTAATTGGTTCATAAATTTTTAGAATAGCGTACATATGGTGAGTAAAAAATTTGAAATTTTTGAAACTCTGATTGCAATAATATCCAAAGAATTCATTAAAGAAGCAATGAAGAGAATGATGAGGATGGAATGTGATGAATGTATACTTTTGCATACATGCATGCAATGATGTTGTGATTAGCATACTCGTAATTCAAATCAGCCCCTTTAACAATACTTTTATCCTATAATCCTATATCTTTCTGTTATTTTCATAGTACTTCTAACATTAGCGGAAAAATTTCATTACTTTCAGAAATTTTTTTTTTTCAATATCCTTGAATTGTCCTTCAAATTAAGCACACATGCAAAAAGAAATAAAAAGAGAGAGATACTTTTTATTATTTTGACATGAAATTTCATCTCAAAACACAGAATTTTACTGTGCAAATAAACTAATCAATATAATTAATACACTACATTAATATATAATAGCTACTAAAAAAATATGTTGCAAATTTGTTTTGTCAGATGTTAGTCTGTGACAAGGAAGAAAAAAATCTTTGTAATTAAATTTTTACTGCAGTTGCGTTTTAATATTTCTGATTTTACATAAAGTACATTATTTTTATCATAGTTAGTATTTTATGAATAATAATACTCATAAAATTAATATTTTATGAGTAATATTTTTAAATATTAAGGTATCTAAAATTAAAGTAATTTGTATTTGTCAATTACAAGTGAATCTTTTTTCCTAAAAAAAAAAAAATCCTTTTACTAATTATAAATACATTTGTATTTTTCACGGTAATGTTTTCCTTTATCCTTAACCGTTAATCTGTTACAATAGACATGCAAATTAGAAATTTTATGAGGATGAACATCAATATGAATTACCAAGAGTCTATAGGTACTTTACCAAGAGGCATATAGTTACTTTAGTTAATGTTATATATAAAAATATCATATTTTGAATAGAAAATTGCATATTTGTTTTTTGTTTTTTTTGCCATTCATCATATTTCTTTTAAAATATTACAGCTTTAACTAATTTAATTTTAAATTTCACTGATGCCATGAAATGCATTTTTTAATTTATAGATGAAAGAGCCGGCAATTTAACAATGATCGTAAAAGATACATCTGTTATTCCCAACATCAAAGCTAGAATTACTATCCTTGTTCGAGGCAATTATTCTAATCCTCCAAGTCATGGGGCACTTATCGTATCAAGAGTATTAAATGATAAAACTCTGTTTGCTGAATGGTATATTCTTCTATTTTATATTTTTGTATTTGAATAATTTTTTCTGTTACACCACTAATTTATGTATTCCTAAATTTCAAATTTTAGCATTTCTGAACAGTGTGCTAGTTTCACGGTAAACACTGAAACTAAAAGTAAAAGAAAAAAGTGTGCAAATTTATCATATTGAATTTTAATAGAGCCTACTAAGATTTACTTTATATATTTTAATTTTATTCTTTATTTTTGCTACTGTAAAGATTATATTTTTATTCTCAATTCTGAAATTAAGTCTTGTATTTGGTTGTGTAAAATTATAATTTTCAATGCACAATAAGTTTTATTGCTTTGCGAAATTCCATAATAATAAAATAATTTTAATTTACTACAATAAATTATTAATATTTATATATTTCCAAATTATGTTTGGTTTTTTAATGCAGGCTTTATTTTAGCATGTTACTTAGCTTCACATTTTATTAAAATATTTTTAGCTATTAGTACAAGAAGTTGATTGTGGGCATACAGATGAGCATTTCTAAAAAATTAATAAATTTCCATAAAAAATCATTAAACATTTTAAAATTTAACATGACACTACTTAAAATTTCTTATATATCATGAATTGATTACATGCTGTATTTACTTTTGTTTTCAAGGTTGTGACTTAATATCGTTTCTTTTGTTCATTTATATGGAAAATATTTCTTTTATTACAATATTAATTTAACTATTCAACTTTTGCCTTTTCTTATTTTTTTTTGTAACTTAGATTTTAAAAAAAGTGATATTTTGTTTTGACTATTAATTGTTATTCTATTTCCAAGAAAAAACATTATAAGTATAATTTTGTATGAATACTACCCTAAAAAATCCTCTATACAAATTATTTTGCAGTTCAGAACTTTTTAAACTGCCTTAGAGTTCTGATTTCTCATATTAATTTATAATTTAATTTAAAAAATTTTATAACTAAATTTGAAACCTTTTCATAATATGTATAAATTAGAAATCTATTATCTTTCACCTTTAAAGGAGGTAATTGAAGAAAAGAAACCAAATATTAAGAGATTAGAAAAAGTGGGTTTATTTACAATTTTATTTTTATAGTGATTAAAGTTTTTATTTAATTTGATGTTTTCCTTTCTTTACATAGTTTGTTCTAATTAATTGGTGATGTAATTAGTGATGTTTTACTTAAATACAAGATATTTGATTATCTGAGTTTATATATTTTTAGAATCATTGTTAAAAATAAGTACAATAAAATTTTCTCATTAGGGATTCCAATTACTGTAATCAAAGAACATCTTGCACATTAGAAATGTTTATCACCAATAGTGCTATAATTTGCATAAAGAAAATGAGTATTGGCAGCTTCTTATAGAGGCCAAATTGAACCCTTATTTAATTGCTTTTCTGTTCAATTAAGGTCTAATTGTTAGTAAAAAATGTATGATGAAAAACATAGTATCTAGTAGAAAACAAGTATCTATATCATTTGAAAGTTTTCATCAGAATTTTAGTTATTAAAGGTTTTTGCAAACATAGACATTCATGCAATTATTGGCACCTTTCATGTTTTATATTATCAATTTATATTAATACTTCCAATAATATTTTTAAATGCATTCTTTTGATATATCATGAATATCATCTCTTGTGATAATGTGTCTAATATAATTGATAATAATAGTTATTAGATATCACAATTGTTGATCAAGTCAATTAAGGGCGATATTAAAGCCAATGTGAAAGCAATGTAAATTATTTATTATGAATTAGATAAAATAGTTAACCATAAAAAAAGCACTATTCAACATCATTAAAATAACATTTTTAATTTTTTAATATCTTTAATCAGTAGTTGGTCTAGTGATATATGGCACCATTAGAAATGTACGAACATAAAATGTAACAATTTCATTGGTAATAATTTATTATGGTACATATTAAGGTCTAACCTTTAGTATAAAAATTTCCTGCACGATTTGCATTGTTAAAATTATTTTCTTTTTAATGTAACTTTTTACTTCTAGGCAAGAACACATCACAGAAATGTCTGGTCGTATAATCAAAATGAGAGCTGCTCTGAAGAAGAAATTAGTAGAGTTAGGCACTCCAGGTACATGGGAACACATAACCAGCCAAATAGGAATGTTTTCTTACACTGGGCTTACACGTACGTATATTGAAATAATTATCTTGGCTTTCTATTAGTAATTAAACTTTTTGAAACTTTAATTGATAAAGTGTTAAAAGTTTTAATTTTTTCTAATTTTGCTTTAAATGAAATTTTTTTATATGACGAAGCTTTTGTAATACATTATGTTCTTTTAAAACTTTAAACTATATTTAATAAGAAACATAATTTTGCCCTTATGATTGCTTCATGTGCACATTTCCCCCCCCCCAAAAATGGACCACCCTGAATAGTTTTTGATCTAATGACCTGAATAATTAATAATCTACACATCCTAGGACTCAGTCTTGATGGTTTATGGGGTGACTTAAAATATGCTAATTAATTAGCGCAGAAGATATTTTAAGTTAGAAATCAGACGCAAAAAACTGGCTTTATCTGTATAAATATATCTTTTTTTCGACGGATTCAGATTTCTGACCCCTAAAATATATTAGGTAGCCGCAGTCAGAAAAATGTAGTCTCAATAATTTTGTCGGAAGAGCGATCTAAAGTCTTGACCTCTTAATGTTAGTTTTACTTTTTGCCTGCTTCGCCATATCTCAAGAAATTTGTAAGTGAATTGAAAAATTTTTACACAAAAATTTTTACAATTAAGGAATTTATTTATGCAAAAAATTACTTTTAGTGAATATTTATTCTTTATTACTTTTTATTGCATTATTTAATAATAGTTACAAAAATTTTGAATTATAAGTAAGCAATTTTTTTAAATTTGAATGTAAATTTACATGGCAAAATACGAAATTTGAGTCTAATCAGTTGAAAATTTCCTGAGAAAATGAATTTTAAAAATAAGACTTTTTAAAATTCAAATTCTTTGGAACTATTCTATAGATTTTGCCCAAATTTTGTGTTTTACTATGTAAAATTACATTCTTTGAAATGATGTACAAAAACTTATGCTTTATGATTCGAGTTTTTTCAACTAATTTTAAATAAATTAAAAAATAATATTTACTAAATGTTATTTTTTTACTTAGAATTATATTTTGATATGCACATTTTTTAATTAAATTTTGTACAAAAGTTAAAATTCACTTAAAAAGTTCTCGTCTAGCATAATCTTTAAAGTGTACACATTACAATTCAAAATTTTATCAAACATTATTAAATAAAGTAATAATAAATAATTATTAAAAATTATTTTTGGCGTGGATAAATGAATTTTATAATTGTGTGTACAAATATTTCGATTCGCTTATAAAGTTCTGGAAATATTGCAAAATACGCAAAAATTAACATTAAGGGATCCAAACAGACTGCTCTTCTGGCCAAATTATTGAAACCATATTTCCTAGATTGTGACTCCCCTTAAAAAATTCATGTTTATCAGTGTTTTTGGTGACTGATTTTGTAATTTAAAATTTCGTCTGCTTTAGTTAGCATATTTCAAATCACTTCCTTGAACCATTACAATTAAGTACTAGAATGGGAACATCCGATCAGTAAATCAGAAATTGAAAGTTTTTTTTTGTTGCACCTACACGAATTTTGTCATTACAAGCATTACAAAACTGCAAGTTTAAGTTTTTTCAAGAAACTTAATGTGTTTGGAAATATTACTTGTTACAGGCATCTAGAACAAACTGTGAAGCATAAAGCAAAAAATAAGTTTCCCAGTTTGTTTTAAAAACTAATTTATTCAGCAATGAAGAATGAAAACTAATTTATAAAATCTGTTTCACTTAATTCAAAGCTCATGTCGCATTATCTTTATATATTTCTTTCTATTCAATGTGAGTAGCATATTTGTACCAAAAGCTAAAATGTTCTTTAATCGAGACAATTAAGACCTTTTAGAATTGTAAATTTATGTAGTATTATTATATCATCATATGTATTACCTGCAGAAGATTCTGTAAGGGTTTGGTGCAGACTGCCAGAAGACAAAAAAATCAGCTTAGCTTGATAGAAGATAGAATTAACCATTTGTTCAAATCAAAAGTGGAATTAAAACTAAAGATAAAAACATAAGAAAGTAAAAGTAAAGCACGAGAAAGTAAAAGTATTGAAGAAAAAAAAATTCCTTGATTTGTATTTCTTTAATTTCTTCAATACTTAATAAGCTATTTATGTTTAAAATAGAATTTTTACCTTAGCAATATTTCGCAATGCATATCTGTGTACAGAAAGCCAGTTTTTCTATGTTTTAATAATATGGCAACTGTGCATGGATAGGAAATTTTTACACAGATTTGCCCAAGCAGCAAATCAGTTAAGAGATTTTAATTAGAACACAGGTAACAATTACGTAATATTCAAATAACTTATAGACTTTTGTGCAAGGAATCTGGAACCAGAACCCAAAAATTTTGTTTTAATATCTGAGTCAGGATGAATTAAATCTTTAAAAGTTATCGGGAATAAAAAAAGTTTTTAAATTATTTATATGAGGAATAAAAAAGTATAACAAAAGTTTTGTTGCACAAAAATAAAGCATAATCTCTTAAACTATAGACATTAAACAGGAGCTAAGATATTTTGTACTGAATCTTTTCTTTATCATTATCTCTAGCAAAAAGTCAATATGATTGGTAAGTCACACTTTATTGCAGAAATCTTTATTTTTCACATTAGTTTCTTTGATGTTAGAAAGGGACAGGTTATAACTAAAGATTGTAATCAAAAGTGGGCTAAATATTTGTTACTATAATGTTTGAAATCTAAGAATTAGTTCACCGACTAATCGAGAAATCGAATCGAATTTCTGAATTGTTGTCAAAATTTTGTCAAATTCTTTGTTAATGGTGTGGAAATAAGTTGTTTTCTACAGAGAATTGACTTTATTTTCGTGCTATGAAACAGCCTTTAATACTTCCTATTCAATAATAAAAATCATCTAAAATAATTTTCATATTGAATCATTCCAAAATAGTGCAAAGAACTTAATTTTGATTTGAATTCCTTACCGAAAAGTATGCAAGAATCCTAACCAAAATTACTTTTTGTTAACCTGTGTAACAAAGCTTTCCTTGCAATATGTTTTTAAAATTGAAAAGATTTAATTTTCATATTTTACATTTTAGCTCCCCAAGTCAAGTTTCTTGTAGAGGAAAAACATATTTATTTACCTAAAGATGGACGTATAAGTATCTGTGGACTTAACTCCAAAAGTGTAGATTATGTTGCAAAAGCTTTCCATGAAGCTGTTACTAAGTTTCCTGATAATTAGAATTTGTTTTGTTGAAATACTTTTAAAGTAGATCATTTAAGTAAAGCACTGTGCATTAGAATTTTTTAGATTTACTGTTGTTGATCAGAAATAAATTGTGTAGTTTTATATCGTTTAAAATATAATTTATCAATTTATAATGTAGACAGTGTTATCATATTAGACAGAGTATTTTCCTTTGCTCAAGATTTTGTTTCTTCTGTTCCAAGAACTCCTGAATCAAAAATGTTTTATATTTTATTGATTCTTCTAGTTTTATAAAACATTTATTGTTAGTGCTGCTGAAAATTTATTTAAATGTTGAATTTGATATATATATATATATATTTAGACCATATTGCATTGCCTAAAGTTGTATTGTTAATAGAAATTAAAACACTCCTTTTCATAAAAATTATAGTTTTGCAGTGTATTATTTTGTACTACTAACACTACACTAAAATTGTATTAAATTATGTAACATTTGAGAAAATAATAATAAGAAAACTTGAACAAAAATTAAATCTCCTTTTGGAGACTAATGAATTGATAATTTCAGAGGTACTCGCTTTTAATTTCACAGTTCCTTTGAATGTAGAATCTCATGATGCGTAAAATCAGTGGCGTAGCTAATGGGGAACAAGAATATACACCTGTCGCCAGAGTTAACCTACGCAAAATCTGTAATAAGAGTTAAAAATGAGTACCAGAGAAAATACTTTCCTCTTATAAATATCCCCAGTCTCATTTGCTATTTTTGGGCTATAATTTTTTTTTTTTTTGATTTACCGAAAAATTTAACGAGATGTGTAATAATATTATAGTTTGGTTTGCCAGGAGTTTTTTTTTAATTATTATTCATTTTAACTACGTAATTGGCGATATGTTTAATGAAAACAAACGAGATTTTGAAAAACATCAAAGTTTACTCTAGCTCTATTGCTAGCACTATTTGAGTTTCACAGTAATACTGAAATGTTGAAAATAAGGTGAGAATAACGATTAACTCAATGCAAAATTTCTATTATTCAATAAAAACAATGAATAAAATAAAAAAACATCTTAACTGTATTAGAAATAACATTATTAACATACACAGTCAAATTTTTAACTGAATCAAATTAAAATTTATGGAGTTACATTGTCTATTTAAAAATCATTATGTAAAGTTGCAAAATATTATTAAAAAAAATAATGCCAAGTGTGGTTGATTTAAAATGTTGCATTATCTAAAACTGATCCCTATAAGTCTCCTTTTAAATCCTACACCATATTATAAGGGGCACGAAAGCCTAGCTACGCCTTTGCATAAAATATAATTTATAATGATTTATGATAAACTTCCCTGAAAATGTCATATAGATAGTATGACAATAAAAAAAGTAACAAAAAATGCACAGACATTAAAAAAAATATAGCATAACAAAAAATATACATGAATTATTGAAGCTTGTCATTTATAATATATCTAACCAGCAGTGTAATGGTCATGCCATAACACTGCTGGTTAGATATTTATATCTATTTTTATCCTTTATGCTTGATTTGCATGCTGAAATTTATTATCAAAATACCAAGTTTCAATAATTTATTATTAAGTTTATTATTTTATGGTTATATATTTATAATTTTATTTATATTTAATATAATTTTACTTTTTCTGCTTTATAAGAATTGCTTTAGAATAATATATTATATTAAATGTTTTTATGTACCAAACAAAATTTCATTGTTTTGGTTTTTTTTTAATGCAAAAATTCTAATGTGATGCACATATGAATTTTTAACATAATATTCAATCATTTGAAAATGTTCAGCTAAGCACATTTAAAAATATTTTAATTTATTACGCATCTCTATACTTCTTTATTTTAAATATATTTTCCCTTTTAAGTAGCTTAAAAAGCCTTTAATTATAGTGTTAAAGTGTTGACACTTAGTCAAAAGAAAAAAAAGTTAGTAAAACAGACAGTAGAAAAAAATGTTTTACAAATTATACCATTTGAAAAATAATGTAATAAAAGCATTTGATATATGTTACTTTAGGCATAATTTTATTGTTTTTAATTTTACTGTTACATTTACTTTAAAAGCTGAGTTGAAAAATAGGTACAAATTAAAAAGCGCTTCTTTTAAACTTTTTTACTTTTGGCACCTATAATAAAAATTATATCTTTTTGCAATCAAAATCTGATTTCTGACTATAAACTTTTGCTTTCTGATTTTATAACTAAAATACCAAAAAATTTATTATTTTTGTTTAATTATCAAAATGAATTTATCAAAAACAAGATTAATTATCTTGTTTTTGATAAATTTATGCTTCATATATTTATTACCATTCCATTAAAAAAAACTGTATAATAGCTTATTTTGGTTAATTAATTTTTAATAACACTTTATCTGTTAGATGTTTATCATGTCAAAATTCTGAATAATAGTAAAGCTCTTCCTATCATAAGAACTGAATTTTAAATTACATCTATTTATTGAATGGCATAGTATGGTAGGATGTAAAATAAAGCATTAAAAACCCAAGACTTAACTTTTTTGTTGCATCCAACTTAAGATAAAAGAAAAAAGGTGGAGATAAAATCAAAAGTGATATGGATTAGTTTAGCTACTATTTCTAATAATTTTAAAATATTTCATTTCAGTGTTCTTACTTAATCTTACTGGATATTTATTTTTTATTGAAAGGTAATTGACTTTTTACGTCCCATTTTATTTAAATGTAATTTTTTTAATTAAGAGTTTATTCTTTGGAGATTTGATGCCTGAAGATCTCTTGCTAATACTCGATCTTTTCTTATTATTCGATGAAGTAGTTTTATTTTGTCCTGAGTTTTTGTTCAACGCCGAAATAATATAATGTGTCGCACTAAGATACTCGTTCGATTTCTGATCTTACATATCTCTGGAATAAATCTAATTTGGGGCCAATTTCTTTCCTGAAAGATATAGACTTAATACATATGACTTAATTCGGGAAAATATTAAAAAAAATTTAAAATTCCTGTTAAAGATCCAATTGATAGTTGATAATTCCTGGCAAAGAACTAGAAGATAAATAGTTAAAATTCTTAAATGGTATTAAATAATTTTTCTGAAACTGTTCCATAAATTTTAATTATAAATTTTATAACCGTCATCGAACAGCCAACCCAATTCTTAGTTTATGACTACCTACGTTCAATTCTGTAGCCTTGTAATTTTGAATCCAATCTAGAAGACCAGAGAACTCCTGGATCAAGTATTGGGAGAAATTTGCCATTTAAAAAGACTTTTCGATGGAACTAACCCTCATTTGCATTACATGGAGAGGAAAACCTCCCACGGTTAGCCTGACAGCAAGGGGACTTTAACCCATGGTCCGTCTACCATTAAGGATATTTTACGTCAGTACTGCAGTTAGTGTGAGCCGAGTGCAGAATTCGTTTTTACCAGCCATTGCTGGAACCTCATTAGGAGGAGAGCGCCTTATCGCCGGAGCCACAACAGCACTGAATTATAAATTTGTGAAATTAGCCTATCCAATATAAGGAAATCTAAATTTGATAGAGAGAACACGAATACCAATATTTAACAAAGTATTGATTTAATTGTTCTAAATAATTAATTTAGATTTAGAGTATTGATTGAATATATTAATAATTATTCTTTTTATAGACTTAGTATTTGAAATTTTGAATAATACTCTGCCTTAAGCATGATCCTAAATTCATCCAAATTTAATAATAAAATTATTTTTATTCATTAGTTTTTATCAACTTAATAATGAATTTGAGAAAGACCATGGCTCATCCTGGGCTATCGCACCACTGAGCCCGAGGATAAATTTGAGAAAAGAAAAAATATGATTTAAGTTATTTTTCTCCCACTGCAATATTAAATATTTTAATTCTTTTCGAAGTTTATTGTAAATTTCTAAAATTCTGTGATATGCTTTGATTAAATATTGGACTGCTTGCGTCATTTTTTTTAATATTTCTAATAAATTGAGACAAATTGATAAACAATTTAGTTTATCTCATTTTAGCAATAGTCTTAATTAATTAATAAATGATTCAAGAATGATGTAAACCATTTGAAATTTATAATGAGCAGCANTCAAGTTAAATTATTTTTGTTTGTTTATGGCTTAAATTATCACCGAGGATATTTTGCAGTACTGTTACTATCCATCGCCGGGATTCGAAACTGGGTTACCTCATTGGGAGTTGAGAACTCTATCCCCTGAGCCACCATGGCTCTATTTACAATGATTTTTAAAATTTCAGTGTTAGATTTAGAACGAGATTAAATGAAGAGTTAATCTGCTAAAGCATGAGACTCAAGATAAGGAAATCAAACAGTGTAATAAATTAAGTTTACCACAAACACAAAACAGTAAAAAAAGACAAAACCTTAAGCAGGATGTTCCGTAAACGTCAGCGTTAATGTATAGTTTTAGGATCCATTTAAAAGACACAATAAGGATTGCAGATTGATATTTAAAGGATGAAAAAACAAAAATGCTAGAATCTGAAGAATCACAGCTGAGAGAGATAGAATCAAAAACATCAAAACATGTTTGATTACTTGAATGAAACTGAGACAAGATAATAAGTGACAATTAGAAGCACCTTCAAGTTGTATAAAAAAAAAAATAAGCTTTGCTTTTTTTAATCCCGCCTTCCTCTATAGCAATTCGTCAGTTTTCAATGGCATTTTAATTTTAAGGCCTTAAGCAATATTTTCCAACCCCTTATTATTTGAGTTCTTTTTCGATATAGAACTTTTAAAATGTTTATTAACGACGGTGATTACGGAACATTCTTTTTAAGAAGAAAGATCGTTTTCTCAAGGTTATGGAAACTGTAGAAGGTAATCCCTGTAATAATACTTGACAATACAACTTTTATACACATTTCTAAGTTTATCAGCATTAATGTAATATCAACATTATGGACTTATAGGTATAAATTTAAATAATATCACATTTGTTATGTAAATCAATATTTATGTTTCTATTTCTTTGCTGAAAAGTAATGTTAATTTTCTTTTTTATTAAAAAAATTGTTTTCCTGCTATTCAATTAGGAGAGACAAAAAATTAACTAATGTCAAACTCATTCACATAATTAACAGAGTACAAGGACAATGACGTTGTTATGATCTTGTAGGAAAAAGGAAATGACATACAGGTGTTCGACTAGTAAGTTCAACAGAATTCGTTCTATTTATATTAGACATTTGCGCTAATGGTGTCTATACTAATTCCCAAAATTATACGAATGTAGTTTTTTTCCTGATATGATATATGTAAGATAATTAACGTTACGATGTGATATGATAGGAATAAGTTTCAGCATTAACCAGATATATATTTCGTATAATTTTTTTTTTACATTGAATAAATTGCAAGTTCTTTATTAAGTA